AAATAATTTTCATGAGCATTTACAGAGATTTTGAATTTCCATTCATTCATTGCTGCACTTCTCTCCCCGCCCCGCCCTCCCCTGCCCCCCCCACCAGTTTGCTCCTCTCTTATCATCTCAATTAACTGGAATGTTCAATGAGACCATAACCCTGAACCTCTGAACCTATGAGGATTTTGCCCAACTTATACCAATTCAAGTTTTTGCAGGGATACAATTTGTTGACAGCAATTATAACTGTCTCTGCAGCCCATCTGTTAATATTTCCATAACAATCAGCCTTCCGTTCTTAAAAACTGTCATCTCTATACATTTGTTCTTTCTTATCATTTTACTTAAGAAAAATCATGACCATTTTTTTTGTCCTTTTGGGCAATGGCTACAGATGGCAGACGAAGACTCAAAGCCTTTGAGTTGTGGGTTTTGGAGAAGAATCCTGACATCCCATGGAATACAAAAAGAAAAGATATTTCTCAGAGAAAGTGAAACCAGGGACCTCTTTGGAGGCAGGATGTTGAAGCTTCATCTCACATACTTTAAGCATGTTGTTAAGAGGGGCCAGACTTTGGAAGAGGACATCATGCTTTGAAAGATACAGTGTTAACAAAAGAGGAAGACCAGAGGATTGAGATGCACTGATGCAGTGACTATAACAAGTATATCAGAACTGGTGCACTCAGGTACATCAAAGATGGCAAGGATGGTAAAGAATGGGACAGGGTTCAGATCAGTTTTCATAGGGTTGCGACGAGATGAAGTTGGCTCGATAGCACATAACAACACTTAATGAAAATATTATTCATTCTCCATTGAATAGACTTAGCGCCCTGTCAAAAATCAATTGACTATAGATTGAAACAATGTGGGTTTATTGTTTGACTCTCAATTCTATAGCATTGATCTATGTGTGTATTGTTATACCAGTACCATTCTGTTTTTATGAGTGTAGCTGTGTGGTATGTTTAAAATGTAAAATAAGTTGAGTCCTACATTATTCTTCTATTTCAGTGTTGCTTAACTATTTGAGGCCTCTTGCCATCCCATGTAAAGTTAAGGATTGTTTTTCTATTTCTGAAAAGAAGGCTATTGGAAATTTGATGTGCATTGTGTTCACTTTCTCAATCACTGGGTATTGCACTTTAACATCCAATAATAACTCTTCCATTCTGTTAATGGAACATGTTTTAATTAAGTTTTCTTTAATCTCTTTTAGTATTGTTTTTAGTTTTATTATATCAGTTCTTCATTTTCCTGGTTAGATTTATTCCTAGATATTTCATTCTCTTACATGCTATTATAAATTAAATGTGTCCCCTTAAGATCCCTTTCTGACTTCTCATTGCTGGTTTGTAGAAATCCATGTTTTTTGTTTGTTTGAACTTGTGCTCAGAAATTTTGTTCAATCCCTCTATTTGGTCTGTAAGTTTTCTTATGGACTCTGAGATTTTCTACATATTTTTATGCATATAGCATTCATATAATAGAACTTGTTAGGTTTTTGGGTTTTTAGGTTTTTGTGTGTGGTTTTGGATGGGTTTTTTTGTTGGGTTTTGTTTGTTTATTTTTGGTTGGGTGGGAGTTTTATTGCCACTAGCAACACACAAAAAAATTAAAAAAAAATTCTTTCATTGATATACAATTCCCCCTGCCCCAAGTACACTCCACTATGCAAACTTAATTCTGGACTCTTGTGATAACCATAATACCCTACCATATATCACTTTTAACCTGTTCTCTCCCTCATCTGTTTCAATGCAGTATACATAATTTAACCAGTTTTTCTCATTCGTACCCCAACCCTAATGTGAGTCCTATTCTACAACAGTGTCACCATGCAGCATTTGTCCTTTGGTGACTGAGATATTTCAATCAGCATAATGTCCTCCAGGGTCACCTATTTTTAATAATATTTCATGAGTTCCATGTTTTTCAACACAATGTAGTATTTCATTGTGTGAATACACCACAGCTTCTCTATCCATCCATCCATTTGTTGATGGGCACTTCGATTGTTTCGAACTCCTTGCTATTGTGAACAAAGCCACGATAAACATGGGTGTGCATATATCTGCTTGGGTGGCAGTTATGGTTTCTTTGGGGTATATTTGGGATATATGCTGGGTCAAATGGTATCTCTAGTTGCAACTTTTTGAGAAAGCGCCACAGTGCCTTCCATAGTGGTTGCACCATTTTACACTTCCACCAACAGTGAATAAAGATTCCAGTTTCTCCACAACCTCGCCAGC